AAAAAAAGCAAAACTCTTGTCTCAAAAGCCTGACAACCCGAGTTCAATCCTAAATGTGGAAGGTGAGAACCAATTCCACAAAGTTGCCCTTTGACCTCCAAACATGCCCCATGCTGTGCATGCAGGAACATACACAGAGAGAGACTGGATTTCTTAAGACTGAAGCATGCCTACCCACACATTATTTATTCATTTATTATTTATGTTGTGGTGCTGAGAGTTGAACTGAGAGCATCCTGGTGAATGCTAAGCAATCCATTTTATTTTTGTATTAACACATTGTTCCCTGGCATCCATAACTCCTTCCCACTGTTCCCTAGACACTCCCAAGGGCCTCCTCAGGGTCCTCCAATTTAAATGAGCTGAATCTTGTCATCTGGCTGGAGTCAGCAAAGCTCAGGTCTGTTCTGATACTGGAGTAACTTGTTCTGAGGCTGGGGTGTCAGGAGGCAGGGAACTCAGAGCCAGCTCATCCTGGCCTAGTATGTCGCCTTGGTCCTCAGCTGCCATAGGGCCACTAGGCTCAAAGAATTTCACCATGGTACAGACTTGTGGCAGCTCCGAGAAGGTCTCTACAGCTAGCAGCATGGCCAGGAGCCCTAAAAGTAAGTAACCTAGGAGAAGAGGTGATTAGTACAGTTCTTAGGGTGCTCATGTTCCCCCCAACTTCCCACTGTGATAACCCACCCTGGCACAACTCAACACTGCCCTCAGGATTCTTTGGACTACAACACCCATACCATGCTATAGGGTAGGATCTCTACCCCTCTGAGTTGCAGCTCCCCTCCCCCCAGTGGTCTATGGGAGTTGTAGTTCAACTCCACCACCCTCCTTAGCCTGGACTCACCAAGAAGTGCAAACTGTCCAAGGTGGTAAATTGCTGGATGCAGGCCACGTCCATGGCCAGGCAGTAGGTCCCCTAGGCCAATGGTGCTGAGTGAACCGAAGCAGAAGTAGATGGCTTCCAGCAGGCTGCAGTCACTCTGTATACTCCACAACCCCAGCGCTGGCAGCAGCACAAAAACACAGGCCACCAGGAGGCCCAGTACTGCTGCCTGAAGCAGGGCAGCCTGGGCTGGTGCCAGGTGCCAGCGAACGGCTACCCAGGTGCCTGGGCAACCAAGTGCAGGCATCAGGCAGCAGCGTAGGGCAGCCACAAGGGCTAGGGAGGCTGGCAGTCCCAGGGCTGCATAGACCACACAGAAGGCCTTTCCACCTGCCGATAGTGGGGCCATATGCCCATAACCTGGAGAAGAGAGAGACAGTTGGTGAAGTTTTGAATGGGATGCTTGCTGGGGGTGGGGGTGGGGGGGGGATGGGAGTAGGTATCTCATTTTCTCCATCACCTCCCACAGGAGTCTGCCCTCTGGTGGCTGAAATTACATGACTTTTGGCTGGAATCCTCTTTATGTGGGGAGCAGGTCCCTTAACCTCTCCAAGGCTACTTTTCCTTTCTGGAAATTTGAAGGACTGAAAGCTATCCCTAGGCTTTTTGTAGCTGGGACAACTTAGAACTGATGGTCTGTCTTTGAGAGATCCTCCCTTCCTCCCCTTTTCCCTTGTTCTTGAGGGGTGGGGGAATTCCAAGAGCCTCATGCATTCTAGGCAAGTGCTCTACCACTGAGCTATAATCCCAACCTGATACTGGCTTTCTGAGAGATTCACCAGCTTCTTATCTTAACCAATATTTCCAAATCTACAGTTTGTGGGATGTCACCCACACTTTTTTTCAGAAACAGGGCCTCATTACATTATGTAGACCTGGCTGGCCTGGAACTCACAGATCTGCCTGCCTCTGCCTCCTGAGTGCTGGGTTTAAAGGTGTGCACCAC